ATTGGGGATTGGTCCTGCTTTGAGCAGGGGGTCGGACTAGATGACCTCCTGAGGTCCCTTCCAACCCTGAGATTCTATGGGCTTCTATTCTAAAAGATGTCCCTCTGCAATATCCAGAATAGGCCAGCAGAAGCAGTAAAATGAGGATTCAGGCTTAGATGCAGAGGGTTTAATTAAAGGAGGGGGAAAAAAAACCCTGCTAGTAAATGCTCCATCTGAAGGGTAAACAAAAACAGCTTGTGGAGAACAATTTAAATCTACAAAAAACAACCCAAGAATAAACTCTGCAAACTCACATGCTACGCTGCCAGAGAATTCAAAGATTCCGACTCAAAATCTGGCTCTAATTTAGAAGCTAGATCTGTGGGTTGTGGGTTTTTTTTCCCTTTTTTTGAACAACTGTTACAAGTTAAATGAAAGGCTACCTGTTTACAAAAGTTTACTACCTGTTTACAAAAGTTGTATAAGTAGGGGCATAGCGAGCAGATCGAGGGACGTGATCGTTCCCCTCTATTCGACATTGGTGAGGCCTCATCTGGAGTACTGTGTCCAGTTTTGGGCCCCACACTTCAAGAAGGATGTGGATAAATTGGAGAGAGTCCAGCGAAGGGCAACAAAAATGATTAGGGGTCTGGAACACATGAGTTATGAGGAGAGGCTGAGGGAGCTGGGATTGTTTAGCCTGCAGAAGAGAAGAATGAGGGGGGATTTGATAGCTGCTTTCAACTACCTGAAAGGGGGTTCCAAAGAGGATGGCTCTAGACTGTTCTCAATGGTAGCAGATGACAGAACGAGGAGTAATGGTCTCAAGCTGCAGTGGGGGAGGTTTAGATTGGATATTAGGAAAAACTTTTTCACTAAGAGGGTGGTGAAACACTGGAATGCGTTACCTAGGGAGGTGGTAGAATCTCCTTCCTTAGAGGTTTTTAAGGTCAGGCTTGACAAAGCTCTGGCTGGGATGATTTAACTGGGAATTGGTCCTGCTTCGAGCAGGGGGTTGGACTAGATGACCTTCTGGGGTCCCTTCCAACCCTTACATTCTATGATTCTATGGTTCTATGAAAAGTTTACAAAACTTTCCCCCAGAATAAGCTAACTCTCAAGTTTTATGCTGTATGCCCCAAATACCCTGGGGCAAAGAGGCATCTAGAAAATAAGACAGTTTAGTATTTTAGTTCGAGTTCCTTAAAGTCATACCAGCTGTTCTGCTTGGCATTGATAGCCATGTACCCATCGTTCCGCTGATCCCTAACGATGTGTGTGTATAATATGTGGCTTTTAGTCTCTGGCACAGTTATAACAGAATATAAAATAACTGCCGAAAGCTGAGCTCTCTGCCTTATAAAGCCACAGATCTGACCCCCGGCCCCTCCCATAAGGTAACCTCATTGCTCCAGCACAGCTCCCATAGCTACAATATAACAGAATGATGCAGTCTAGTGGTCAGAGCAATCAGGAGCCAGCTGCTGTGACAGTAGGGACCGGAGCCCATTAAACCAGGTTACTTCACAACCATGTATTTGCTGCTGTTCATCCCATTCAGGCCCAAACTTTACAAACAGCCTCGCAAAACTGTCATGAAAACACACCCATGCAGATGGAAACTCTGCCTGCCCTTCCCCTGCCAGGATGATTGAGAATGATGAAAAAAAAAAAGAATGTTATGCACTTGCCCATCAAAAACAATTACTAGCCCTGATTAAGTGGGTTAATAGAATTTTGCATGGTTGCTTTGAAATCCTCTTAGTTCTGGAGTAAGGTTTGCAGGTCCCCTTTCAAAACCCTTACCAAAGTTCTATTAAGAGTTTTCCACTTATTAGAAATTCTGTTTGTTGGTTACATGTTTTTCTTTGCCTCCTGGATTCTGAGACTGTAAGGTGCACACAGGTAATATTTTCAAGCTTTTCTATGCAACCATGAGGGCTAGAAACTTTATTGTAAGTGAAAGCTGAGATTCTCACATAATCACATGACTCCAGGAGCTGGGACTTTAAGACTAACACCCAATATTGCAAGACTCACTGTAAAACAGCAAGAGCTGGCAACCCTGCAACTTCACTTTTCTCCTCTGTCAGGAGGGATAGTCCTTTTTGAAAAATATCTGTTACTTTTCCAAAACACTCTGCCAGTTCAAAATATTCTAAAGCAGTTAGAACAGCATGCCCCCCCCATTTTTCTATGAAGTTTCCCAAGAAAAGAAGCACGCCAGTTGGGGGCCTGGCATGTTTGGAATGGCTGGTGACACTTCATCTTCTCTATTTTTTTAAAAACTTTTAAAGACATTAAAAACTATTTTATTTATTTAAATCCTTGTTCATCCATTTCCAGCACGGGCAGAGATGCAAACTGCTTCTTCGTCAAGAAGAGGGAGCAACTGGAGGCCTATTCCAGAGGAACAGAAAATATATCGCTTATTTCGCCAACATCTGGGCTCACAGCTACCCATCTGCACCACCTGCCAGCTCCACAGCACAGCTGCAGGGAAGCCAGCTGTGGTTAGTGTGCTGGGATGAGGTACTCTTTTGGCACACAGTGTGCAGCACAACGCTGCGGGTGTTAAACCCAGGTTGTTTATAGTCCTGTACAAGGGAGGCTGCTATAACAAGCCTGCCTGATCCGGGTTGTGGCAAGTGCCTTGCTCTTCCATTCCCGCAGCTGTGAAGAGAAATGCCGTGTATATCTTCTAAAAGAAGTTGAAAGGCAGGGTCAAACCCTGTACCTTTAAGGCACATGGCATTCTGTGCAGATTCTCTAGGTATCCAAAGCCCCTCATGGTCAAGATCAAATCCACAGCATGAAAACCATGCTCTCCTTGAAATGGATCACAGAACAGACAAGCTGGGCACAGGGCTTTGGAAAGACAGCAAGCCAGAGAGGGCCGGCAAAGCTACTACTGCGGAGGCAGCTTCTCCCTGGATCTGCACAAAGCTTAATTTCACACCTGTGAAGTTAACCTTGTTAGGAGCTAACACCCCACAGAACTCTCCCACAGCGGGAATAATTACAAGTTTTCACTCCAGCACATTCATTTAAACCAGGAAGTGGAGGAATCAAAAATGGAGGGTGTTTTTATTTTATTTTAAAGACATTGACAAGAGCTGATACAGCAAAAACCAAAAAAAGGCCTTCCGACAGATTTAGTTCACTCTACTTAGCTCTGAGTAACACCACTCAGATAGCAATTATATGTCCATAATTAATTATTTTCTCCCTCACTGCAGCTACATGCACTTGTGAGCGCTCAGGCAACTGGGATGCCCGTCGGAGCGTCTCTGACACCTAGTTTTGGGGTGGGATGGATGCTGACCTGTGGAATGGAATGTCTCATTCTTTACCCCAAGGGTGACTTTCATCTCAGTTTGAGAAGAGTTCTCAAACTTTTTCAGCGCCTGGACCACTGTTTAATCCAGAGCGTGTCTCGTGAACACTCCCCTGCATGTGTACAGTCAGGGGAGTCACCTCCCGTCCCACCGGCGATTGAATAACGTCCCTGTAGCAACTATGGCAATTGCCTACAAGGAAAAGTAACACTTAGGCCAAGATTTTACCACGTGACCATTGATTTTGGGCACCCAACTTGAGACATCTTAAAGGGGCCTGATTTTCATAATGTGCTGAGTACCCATCCTAGGGCCCTTTAAAGTGTCTCAAATTGGGCACCTAAAATCACTGGAAAGACCCAGCTCCATGTAAGCAGCTAGTTTTACAACATAAAAATGGCCATCCTGGGTCAGACCAAAGGTCTATCTAGCATCCTGTCTTCCGACAGTGGCCAATGCCAGGTGCCCCAGAGGGAACTTCCTCAATGAGTAACTGTTCATCACAGCCACATGATTCATGTCGCCTCCACCAGCCATCAGCATAGGCAAAGTCCCCGTTCTGTGCATTGCAATTGTGGCCCACGGGCCAAAGTTGGATTAGCCAACAACGACTTCCGCTTGGAAAAAAGCTATCTTCGAGTGCCTGCATTCTAAACAAGGAGTGAAAGCACCAACAAACTTCAGCCCAGTAGATCACCTAGTTGGCTGAACTTTTTAATAGCCTTTCCTGGAAAGAGACGGGGACATCAGTGAATGCACCACTCCATTCTGCCAGCTGCGGGAGGAGAGTTTCAGGCTCTTCCGTGGACTGGCACAAACTATCCATGTGACAAATCTCATTACAAATAAATAAATAATCATAAAAAGAATTACACGCCATCAGGACCAAGAATTCACATAAACGAGAGTGCTGTAGCCAGACAGCCTAGGGGCACGGTCCTGGCTGTCTGAATGAGCTGCACTGTGGGGATGACAGAGACTTCCCTTATGGTGATGGATGGCGGAGGCCATGTGAGTCACGCAGTGCTGATGAAAGGTCACTTAATGGGGAGGCTGAGCTTCCTGACTGGGTCTTGCACAGCCAGGGCATTTGCCCCAAGACGGCAAGCTGCAGGACAGTAACTCAAACTTATGGCAGGTTTATAGATCCCTGGATAGAAAAAAAACAGCTTTCACTGGAATGACAACCTTTAGCAAACAAATCCCACTGGCCTCACATATTCCCAAACCCAGCATTCTGGGCTGTGTGCGTGTGACAAATGAGACCTCAGGCACAATAGACTAGTTAGACAGACAACAAGCAGGAGGTCTCCTTTTCTACCTCTCAGCTGTCCCTCATTTCAAGCAACGCCATTCACTTCCGTCCCCAATTTCCCTACGTTCTATACAGATCTAGGGACCCCTCGCTTTTACTGTGGAAAAACATTTACATCAGCAATAGAAATGAAACTGAGGCAGCAGAAAGCATCACGCTACCTAACCGAATCCTCCAGCATTTTCCCAGGTCTGCATATAAAATGTGTGTCCCTCAGTCTGGATCTTTGCCTCACACGCAGGTTTTGCAATGCTGAGAGGCAAGTCCCCTTCCCGTTGGTTTGGAAAGTGGCAGTTCCAAGACCTACTGCATGCCCCGTCTCCGCCACCCCCTTAGCTTTGAGAAAAGAAAACCCAATTCCTTACCCAGCTTGGGGGGCTCAGGGGTCGGATTTACCCTCATCTCTGTCCTGCTGCCTTCTTTGCTTGCACTGGTTTTGCTGGACCCTGCAGCTCTCCTTCCACCTCTGAAGGAATACGAATCCGCCATCTCTAGAACGAGCAGAAGACACATGTTAAAAATACAAAAATCCTCTGCCACAGAGAAAGCATACACTGCAAGCAGGAATGGCATCTACAGTGGAAAAAATATTAAACAGGACTAAATGTTCTCATTTAAAAAAAGAAGCGGGGTGCATTTGCAAATATTTGTTTTATGGTTGAGGGATACTATAGACATGGTTGAGGAGCTGCTTTCATTATAAACCTGTTTCCTCTAAGCATACAAGAGCAAAGACTTTATTAGAAGTGACGGGCTGGATTCATACAAAGAAACAACGAACAAACGGCTTTTCTTCTTTGTTTATTTCTCTGCTTTCATTAGAAGATAACAAAAGGAAAAAAAGGTGAATTTTAATGAACAGATCCCACGATAAATTTCCAATTTTTGTTATGAATGGCAAACCCGTCTAAACTGAGAATTGTGAATGTTCCTTAGATCCCCCGGATTAATAATTCAGGTTGGCTTCTCTGTAAATAATGAACATCAAAAATGATCACGAGAAGCCCGATCTCGCTTCCATAGAAGCCGACAGCGAAACTCTATCAACTTCAATGGCAGCAGGATGAGTCCTTGGAATTGCTGGCTCTTACAATTCCAGCCCGAGCGGGAGCATTTTCAAACACACTGTAAAATCATCACAATAAAATGAATGGAGGGAGGGAGGGGTTAAAACAAGTGGCAGGAATGCATGGTGTACTAGGCCACCCACGCAGCAGAGATGACGGGGTCCTCCAGAAGTCATTAGCTGCAGAGGTCCTTATTGCTTTTATAGCTTGGAAGCCTCTTAAGGTATGTAATGAATCTGCTAGTGTTGAGTAACTGGTGATTTTAGGGCAGCATGGGGCAGGTGTCTCTAAAGGCTGGACTGGAGAGGCAAGCAACGTCTCTATAATTAGCTGCATTGTGGAGACAAAGTAGATGGGAGTCAATTGAAGCATAGCTCTTTCCCATTAGCCCGGCCTCTCTTGTAAAGGATGATTAAACAGACTATGCCAAACCCATCCCTGATGTCATTCAGCTGAAATCAATGGGGCTGAATGAGGGATGAATTTGGTTCATCTGTTTACATTGGCAGTTTGTTCCTCTGACGCACAAGTCAATTTCCAATTGGGATCTAAGAGAGAAGGCCCGATTAATCTCTCAGACCCGAGGGCTTGACCCTACCTCTTTTACTCAGGTGAATAAAGGTTGCATGGTTGGTCCTCAGTTCAAATAAATGGGCTGTGCAGGGTTGAAACGGCAATTCCATAACACCCGGACATGGCCAAGTGCAGTAACTCAGGGGCTCTCAACCTTTCCAGATTCCGGTCCCCCTTCCAGGAGTCTGATCTGTCTTGCGTACCCCCAAGTTTCACCTCATTTTAAAACTACTTGCTTACAAAACCAGACATAAAAATACAAAAGTGTCACAGCCACACTAGTACTGAACAATTGCTGACTTTTTCTTTTTTACCATATAATTATAAATACATCGACTGGAATACAAACATTGTACTTACATTTCAGTGTATCATATATAAAGCAGTATAAACAAGTCACTGTCTGTATGAAATTTTAGTTTGTACTGACTTCCCTAGTGTTTTTTATGTAGCCTGTTTTAAAACTAGGCAAATATCTAGATTAATTGATGTACCCCCTAGGAGACCTCTGTGTCCCCCTGGGGTACATGTACCCCTGGCTGAGAACCACTGCTGTAACTCACACCCCTGGAGGAACAGGCATCCAGACACAATGCCTTGCAGGGTCAATAGAGCACTTCAGTGTGTATGGTTGTCTCCTTCTCCCTTCCTATTACCCAAATCACCTACATACATTGTGCACTTTGCATTTCCCTAGTCCTGTCACTTGAGGATCGCTACACACTCGACCGACATTGCACAGTTGTGAGCCTACACTCATTAACCAGGGAGGTCACTATATCCATTTTGCAAATGGGAGAAACTGAGGCACAAAGTGATTGACATGGCCCTGATCCCACAGTGAATCAGAGTCAGATCTGGGATTAGCATCCAGTTCCCAATCCACTTCTCTGACTACTAGGACAGCTCTGTAGCCTGCATGAGCGTCTTGCAGATTTTCACTTTTTATTGCGGGTAAAAGATTAACAATACGGGCAGCGAATGAGCAAGAGGGAACAGCAGAAGCAGACGCAGTCCAGCACCTCAAGAAGCCCTGATGCAGATTTGCAGGCCTCCACTCCAAAATAAGGCCAAATTTGCCAAGTACAATAAACCTCCCCATGTCACCTTTTTGAATACACAGTGCAGGACAATTCACCGCTACAAAGAGTTTTTAAAAGGCTGGCTATGGGTAATACAGGTAGACTCCAGAAACCCCAGGTTGAAAATATCTGATTTGAGCAATATCTTCCAATATTGTCCTCAGATCCTGGTTCAATTCCCTGTCCTGGGCCAGTCGCTCCCTGGCTCACAATACTGCAGAGGGAGTACACTCGGTGTGTGAGGGATGCCTCGTGTCCCAGTTTAAGCCCTACAGGGAAGTTTTCACCATTGACTTCAATGGGAACAGCACAGAAACAGCAGGAGGGGCTCTGAAGAGTCCCCGCTAGTTATTTTTCTTGGCTGAAGGATGAACATTTATACATAGGGGCAAAACATTCCTATGGACACAGACCAACCTGCCTGGCCCTGTGGCCGACTCACCCTTACTGTGTGGCCACGGGAAAGTAATTTAACCTTTCAATTTCCCAAGTCACAAGACAAGGATGATAATATTTACCCACTATCCAGGGGCAGGGGGAGGATTGATTAGCGAATGTTTGTTGAGTGCTCTGATGAAGGGGTGTGTGTGTGTTTGAGTGTGTGTGTGTGTGTTTGAAAGTAGGAGAAGAAATAGCCCAGGTCCAGGAACCTCTACCAAAAGCTACTGTGCCTCTAACAGGGGTCTTCACATGAGCACAGATCCTTCAGTGCATATAAAAGTTAATGGAATATAAACATCAGCAGCTTTATACTTTTCTCCCTCGGGGGGTGCGTGTTGGGTTCTTTTGATGTCCCACAGAGCTGACACGCACGGATCACAACGGCTTTGCCATTTTTAAGGCAGATATAACGTTATCCCACCACACACACACCTAGATACAGACACTCTCAGCTAGCCCATAAGAGCCATGCTGCCAAACAATTAACAGACACTGAGGCAAGGCACAATGAATGGACACTGTGATTCTGTGCCGTCAGCTAGTGGGCAAATATTTTGTTCTCTGGATGGACATCACGCTTCAAACGTTTCCTGGTTTGTGGTGTTTATTGTAGGGTTGCTTGTTTGTATTTACTTATGCTTAGGTGTTTGTTTTGCTCTTGGGTTTATTTGGGCAAGCGGCCCCTTTGTACTTACTGGGCCCAACTCTGCCCTTGGTTACACACATCTACATCAGGAGTCCACTGAAGTCACTGGAGTGATACCAGAATCAGACCCACTGTGCATGCTGCAGTTTGTAAACAACACCTAGCTCTTATCTTCAGTAGATTTCAAAGATCTTTACAAAGGAGGCATCATTAGCCCCATTTTACAGATGGGGAAACTGAGGCACAGAGGGGTGACGTGATTTGCCTAAGGTCACCCAGCAGGTCAGATGCAGGACTAGAACGCACATCGCTCCTGAGTCTCAGTCCAGTGTTCTATCCACTAGGCCACACTCTTGCCGAGAGACCTTTAACTACAAGCACCTAAAAATTCAGACATGCTCTTTGCAGTTATTATTCATCCTCTGAAAGTCTGAGTTGCTGTTAAATTAAACATCTGTATAGCCCTGTAAATGCACATGGTCCTTTACAGAACACATGCTCCCTGCCCCCCAGAGCTTACAGTCCAAACAGGCCAAGCCAAAGATGGGGCGCACGTTCAGGAGAGGAAGGAATGCTCAGTGATCCCCAAACACCGCAGCACCCATGTGTCTTGCCCCCTGACATCAGTCTCCCACCTCCATCTCTAAATACTCAACACCCCTCCATGCCTAGCTTCTGCCTGCTCTGGCCCCCAACCAGCCTGTAGAAGCTGGGGCACCTGTGAGGAGCAGGGCATTTGTGGGGAGGTGCCACATTCCCCCTTATTCTGTAGCAGCAGGGCTCCCATCAGAGCCTGGCTCCCAGGGTCCCTTTCTGAGTGGCCCCCTTCCGGTGGGAGGGAGAGGTTCAGAGCAGGGAGGAGAAGGTCACAGGCTCAGCGTTACCTGATGTGGGGAAACCCCCTGGCTATGAAGGGGGCCAGATGCCGAGGACAGCAGCCATCTCCCTGAGCCCACCTAGCCATGTCCCCACACAGCCTCGGAGCTCCACACACCTGCAGGAGGGGTAGGGAGGGAGGCTGCTGGGTAGACTCAAGTGCCCCATAATTCCCTCTGACAAAGCGTTCCCATGTAGCAGCGATGCTCAGTTTCCCATCCTCTGCAGGATTCCTCTCCGAGCAGGACGTGGCCTTGAGTTAGGACCGAATCCCACGTCTTTATCAGCACTAGACTCCCCAAAAGATACCGCTTCCCCTCCTCGGCCCAGACAACCCTGCAGCTTCGCTGAGCTGAAAAGCCGTGGACAGCTCTTTCACCCCAGCGTGTCGTTCCTGGAGCCCTGGATGCAACAGCCTGGCCTGAAGCCTGCAGGAGGTCAGACTAGATGACCATAATGGTCTCCCGTGGCCTTAAGATCCATGAATCTATGACCATGCATGTGTTGAAGGTGCAACTAATTATGCTCATCCATTCTGGCCAGTGGCACAGCTAAGGAACTGCAAAATCAGTTCTGGTTTGTTCTCCAGTTAAACCCCAAACCATTTAACTTTAAAAACCACAGATCAGATGTTTCACTTCAGAACTTCCTACAAAATTCCTTTTTTTGTATCTGTTTGCCTTAACTCAATTAACAAGAATCTACACAGCACTGTCCCTAAACAGACACCAATAGACACCCAGCTCAGCAACTGGCCCATCTGAGGTGCCACAACTCCCCCACAGTTACGCGAAAAGAATTTTCAT